TCTCTCCTGTGGACTCAAAAAGCCTGCGATCTGACTGTAACTCAGCAGCTGGGTTGTTTCATCAGAGACAGGCTCAACCCAGCAATTCGGTAGAAAAAAATAACCCAGCAACTTAGTTACAGAAAAACTACCCAGCACCTGGGTAATAAAATATTAAATACAACCCAATAAAATGACCCAACAAGCTGAACCCAGCATTTGGGTTTAAAAAAATAAATAACCAGCATTTTTTAGAGTGTATGTATAAAATACAATGCAATGGTTAATATACAGCTCATGAGATCATATTATACATAATTTTCTTGTTAAAATTAGGGAATTATTGGGCCTATACTTGTATGTCTGTGCATAAGACATAAGATGGTCTTAACTGGTGTTAGATAGCTTGTTACTGGTAGCTTGTTGTAGGCTGTACATCTTAACCACTGTAGGCATGATAAAACCAGCATGAAAGTCACCAAAACTAGTTTATAGCAAATTTGCCCTTGTTAAAAAAGTAGACAAATAAATGGATTTAATCTGATTCAGAGGTGGACATTAAGAAGTACCGTTTAAAGAAAATGTCTAAACAATTCACTGGTCCATTGACAACATCCAAAAACAAGCAACATCATTTAAACCTAAGTCTAAAACCTTAAATCTCTTTCTGATGTTTTAGACTTGCATTTGCAAAATAATTTGTGTGCCCATATCTCACAGAGACTTCAGGGTGGGAGCCTATAAAGCACACAGACTATAAATAGTGACACCCTAACCTCCTAACCACACCCTAGCAACCACCCCATAGACTTCCATTGAACAAGGATGAGAGGAAAATCTCTGGATCAGAACATCGTAAAAAATAAGCATGTTGGCTTTTTTAATTTTTTTCTCAGACTGATAAGTAGTCTTTAAATATCTGACAACTACCTAACCACACCCTAGCAACCATATAGTAAAATGAACAAGCTAAATTTCTGCATTAGACCATCATAACCAGGTAATTGTTTTGGGAACATTGTTTTGAAATGTTTCTAAAATGTTAAATTGTCCAGTCTTCTTGTTGTGATTATAATGGTACTGTATGTAAAGGTTACAAGAACGTTTCTTACACCGTTCTATCATTTATTTGTAATATTATAAGATTGTTAAAATGTCCAGTTTTCTTGTCGTGAATTGAACATCATTTAAAGGTTACAAAAACATTTCTTACAACGTTCTATTAAAGTTGTGATAACCTTCCCAATTAGCTGAGTAGAGACGTGGGGTTGGGCTCTTTTGACTCGCTGTTAAATATCATCCTCACATCTGTCTAGCCATGCCCTAGCAACCGTTTAGAGGACCCTAGCAACCATATTGTAAAATGAACAAGCTATATCTCTACATTTGAACAACATGAAGACATGGGGGTAGGTTCTTTTGACTCGGGCTGTTAAGAGGTTTTAGATATCACCATACCAACTGCCTAGCCACACCCTAGCAACCATTTAGAGGAGGACCCTAGCAACCATATAGTACAACGAATAAGCTATATCTCTGCATTAAAAAAAAAAAAAAACATTTGTGAGTTGGCTCTTTTGACTCGGACTGTTAACAGGCTTCAGGTATCACCCTGGCAATTGTCTAGTCATGCCCTAGCAAACATATAAAGGACCCTAGCAACCACATGGCACCGTGAATAAACCATTTTCCAGCTCCAGAACTCCGAACTGATATGTGATTTGGCTCTTTTGACTCAGGCTGTCCATTCAGGCTTTCTCAAGCCAGCATCAAAGTTTGTTCGCAAACTTTAGCCTCTAGTTTGATGTTTATATGTTTTCTAGGAATTATAAAATACTACCACAAATAGGTTTTAAAACGATGTGCATGCATACAGCAGAGAATCAATGCTGACCCGGCACTGAACCCTGCCATAAAAATGATGGATACCTGTGGACTTTGGATTCTGTTCAGCTTCCGCTAAACCCTGGATAATAGAGGTGTGTGTATGTGTGTGTGTGTGTGTGTGTGTGTGTGTGTGTCAAGGAAACAAGGTAAATCTCATCTAACTGAATATAATTGGTTGGGTGACCTCAGCGTCTTTAAGTCCCAAAATGAAACTGCTCAGATTTCTCTCATCTCCCACACACAAACTCTTGTCAGCGACAGCTGGGAGGAAATGGGTCAGCCAAAGACGGCAGATCTTAACCGTCTCCTTGCTGTTTGTGTGTGTTTACTTTAAAGAACAAAAAAAAGATAATATCATGTTTGTCATCTTCTCGGTGAATTTCATTGCTATTACAACGTTTCCAAACATTGTGCTGTTTTTCTTGCTTCATTTTAGTCAATATTTGAATTAGAAAAAGCACTTTACTTCCTTGATAAACATGCTTCATAATGGCGTCTGTACCATTTTACCACCAACTCTGTTAGATAAGATCCAGAAATATATTCTGCACTTATTTGAGGTCAATAAATAATGTAGATTGCAACCTGGGTTGACTTAAAGTAAAAGCAGAAATTTTACATCGGTAATTGGACAAACAGTTGGATCTAAAATATGAGACCACTAGTGAAAATTGTTGTCTGTTTTGTTTTATTTATTTTTTTTATTTTTATTTTTTTTATTTTATTTTATTTTACATTTAGGTTTACAGAAACTTTAGACTCTTGTTTATTTATTAATATATTTAATTTAATATTGTAATTGTATTGTAATTAATATTTAATAATGTAATTATTTTACTTAATAGTATTATTTTATATTATATTATATTATATTATATTGTGTTATATTATAGTATAAGTAATTCTTAATAAATTATTTAATACTATAATTTTATTTAATACTCTGATACTATATTTATTGTTAAAATGTCATCAAATTTACAATAACCATCATATCATCAGAGTAATTTGAGTTTAATATATTAAAAAAAAAAGATGTATGTGCTCTGTAAAAAGTGGCATCCTGCAATTGTTACATTTCTACATTATTTAACCCATAATAATTAGTTTTCTTGGCATCATTTGATCTGTACAGGTTGGTTTTATGGAAGGTAAATACAATTTTTGACTTGAATAAAACCAGTTAATTTAGATGTTACTATTTTTTAGTTTGACTTTGAGTTTCTTAGTATTAGCCAGCATAATTTGAGAAAGCAAGAACCAAAACTTTTCTACAAAGAGTTAACATGGTCAGTGTCAAATTTAATTAGTGACCTAGAAATTACTTCTCCATCATTTGTTTTACATTTTTATCAAATCCCTAAAACCTCCTCTTTATTTCCAGGATTAAATTCGATTTTAAACCTCGAATTAACGATGTGGTCAACAAAACCTGTTGAGTTTTCGGATTGGAGGAGCAGAAAATGAATACTTACTGGTGACGCCAGCTGGAAAGATTTGATGAATCGTTATGAAAGAACACTATTGTGATTTGATTTTATGTCGAAGATTAGATTTAGCCTTGTTCTGTCTCATTGTTCTTTCTCAAGGGCTTGTTTTCTGAGTTGTTTATGTTGTTGTATGGAGCTCTTTCTACATGGGGTTTGTTTGACAGATGTGTTTGGATCTAGAGATCATGCTAGAGCGATTGCAGATGAATACTGCAAAAACAACCATGAAGAAACCCTCTCTCTCTCTCTCACGCACACACACACACATGCTACATTTATTTTCATTTTTTTAGGCATGGGCTTGGTCCAAGCTTTCCAAACGTATTAATACATCTCAGATATGTGATATGGAAGGCATGCCGAGGCCAATAATGACATAAAAGAAATACAACAAAAAAGAGTTGCTTTTTATAGAAACTTTCCATTTTGAGAGGCACTAAACCAAGACTCATAACTAGGTTGTTAACAGCATCCATTCAAAGACAGTGATGACTGTGTTCTGTGTCTTTCATCAGAACCTTATTGAGCTGTTGTGGTTTTTAGAGCAATAATTGCATAATTGTATAAAGTCGTTCATCAGGGATTTGCTCTGATTCTCTCTGCTTTTTACTCACTTTCTCTGTTCTTTCTCCCGTCAGTCGTGTGTCCGATGTTGTGTAAGAACGGAGGAGTGTGCGTACAGAAGGATCAATGTCTCTGCCCGCCCAACTTTACTGGGAAGTTCTGCCACATCCCCGTCTCCACCAATCACATCGAGAGACCGGCGACGAGTGCTGTGGGTTCAGCCAATCAGCCGATGACGTCTGAGTACATACTGCCTCTGCAGACGCCTGAGCAGATCAACACCAATGGTGAGAGGATCTGTGTTTTTCAGTAAATATGTCTTACAGCGGATTCACTTTTTTTTTTGAGGTCTTCGCAAAAAGCACAGTTCATTTAACGCATGTTGATTTATGGAGGGGCATGTTGTCACACAATGGGGACCTGATGTTCAGTCATGTCAGTTTGAGATAAATAGTTTTAAATACTATTTGAATTGCGCTTTTTAAGTTCTACCTGAAGTTAAAATACATTTCAACAACATATCGGCATTTCAAATATTTTGAAGCATGTGAAATGGTTTTGACCTTGTGAAAAAGTAGTGTGCTTCAAATCTCAAAAGTACAAAAACAGCAATTAATATAATGTTAGTTAAATAAAACACCACTTAAGTGTACTTGAAGAGAGCATGTACTACTTTCATGACTGTTTCTTAAGTAGAGTTTTAAAAAGTTTTACTTTAGATAACTTTAACTTTTGTCGTGTTTTAAAGAAGTACACTTATTTTGATGTGTTGACAAACATACTAAAGCACATGTAAAGTACTTTATTATCATTTTAACTGTAGTGTGTTATTCAATATTAGATTTAAATAATATTGTATTAAATGTTTTTAAATTGCAACTTCATTATTACAAATGTGTAATTAAATATATGTTCAAAATACGTGACATGCACGTACATTAGACAATAGAATGCAATAAATTACATTTTAAAATACACTTAAATACTACTTATAGCAAGTGAGTCAAATACCAGTCTTAAGTTCAACTAATTGCAATTTTAATATAAATGTAAAATTTAAATGTATAAAATTAAACTATAGTTAATTTGTATTTGATTGCAATTAACATGCAATTAAATGTCTAAAAACTTGACATTCAGTTTGCATTTCAAGTATATCAAATATCATATATTTTTAAAGTGTATTATTTCCGTAATAAGTATGGTTTTTAAAAGTGTGCATCTTTTTCACAAGGGTACAGCAAATTTGAACAATTTAAGCAAAATTAGAAAAATAGACCCTATTTTACCAAGCACACCCTGTTTCATCAAAACTTTTACAGTGTTAAAATACATCAAATTAGCTTAAGATTTTCATTGAGGGAGGGGAATATGTGTTTTGGCACTGTAGTCTGTTGTGTAACTCATGGCCGCATACGGATCCAGACTCTTGTGATGGTGAAAAATGATGAATGGCGACATTTATTTTCTGTTTTCATTTGGCTGCTGCTCTCAATTTGGATGTGATCCGTAAATGGCAGCATCGGAGTCCTGTGAGGAATTAAAGCAGAAACACAGCTGATGCATCACGCAGATGTCAGTTACACCTGGAATATGTGAGCGTGTGGAGCTTGAATAGATCATGTGTCTCGTGTGTGGGTTTGTTGAGGCAGAATGACGTCAGGGAAACCACCGTGTCCACAGTTTTTACTCTGAAATCTGCTCTGGGTTGTGTTTACTACACAACTATTACAGAAGGTTCAAACGCTCACTGAGCATTGCAATAAAAGCCTGGAGGTGAAAACCTTTTAAATTTGAAAGTCAGGGTACATTAAACTTATTTTGTCTTCTGGGAAACATGTAGGCTAAGTATCTACTGTAGTTTGTGAAGGGCAGTACTAAATGAAAACAAATATGATATTTAGGCAAAATAAGAACAAATGTACACATCTTCATTCGGTTCAAAACATCCCTGGCTCTTAATGCATGGTTTTTCTCTTCTGGAGCATCAGTGAGCGTTTGAACCTTCTGTAATAGTTACGTATGAGTCTCTCAGTTGTCCTCAGTGTGAAAAGATGGATCTCAAAATCAGGCAGTCACTTCTAGAAAGGGTCCAGATACGCAAAAGATGCTCCATTCATCACTATAATGGTCACCCCCAAAAAACAACATAACAGAAAGTTAGAAAGCATTCAACACTACCAAATATCCCACTTGACGTTAATCTCACACAAAAAAAAAACAAATCTAAACCAATCCCTCAATTACTAAAAAAGTATAGCATATGATAAAATGTTTTAGAAGATGTTAGTCAGGTATTTTATTTACGTAATTCCTAAGAAGCCGAGTGTATCTAGTGTTTACAGATAAACCCTTACTGGACCTTTGACCTAAATGACCTTACAGGCATTTAACCCTAATCTCAATCTGGCAACCGTCGCTCAGTGACATGCCGCAGACTCTGCTGATGGAACGCCGCGTGTTTATTTTTTGAGTTGGTTTATTTAATCAGGCAGTCATGATAAATGTGTTTCCATCTGTCATTGAGTGTCAGGTGAGCTCATGGTTTTGGCAGAGAGACACATGAACAAGCAGACGAAGGCGACTGCTGTATCGCTCCAAAACTGATAAGATACGACAACAACAAAACCTCACCAAGTGATCAGGAGAGACAATGTGAATTTAATTTCAATTCCAGTTTCAGACCTGATGTGTTGATCTAACCGGAGACAAGTCTGGCCTGCGGCGTGTCAGAAATGTGTGATTAGATTAATTTAGCTTTAACTTTTGAAGGAATATTCCAGGTTGAGATTTATCAATTGCATCTCTGGCGTGTTGTCATCACAGACAATCATTTTGGCTTAACGTTGAAGTCTATTGAGCAAGTGTTCTGGATGGTATAGAAAGTGATTTTATCACACTAGATTCATGTTAGCTATAATATACTCTTGTATTTGTTTTGTTTTTTATATTGCTGAAAAACTGCTGACACTGATATTAAAATAATGTGCATTAGTTCTGAAATTAAGCAGGGCTTCTGCAGGTTTTTTGAAGGTAAATTTAAGACTTTTTAGTAAAAAGTTTAAAGAATAAATTGAATGAAACACGAAGTCATTATGTCTCTAAATGTAAATACATATTTGTAAATACATCTTCCAAAAGATCTCAGTGTTTTTTTTTGTTTGTTTTTTTGCGGTGTGAAGCAGTTAAAGTTAAAAGACCTATTCAAGCAATATACAGTATTGGAAAACAAACTTTTTTGCAGTGCATGCAACATTTAATACCATGACGTTATACATTTAAGACAGTATGCTCTGATTTATGACCTGAAAGTGTGAATTTAAGACCTTTTTTAAGACCTAAAGCATATACACAACACAACATGAATTAACATTTTGGGATATGTTTCCCAAAAGCATTGTTAACTAATTATGTTCATTCATTACAATATAGTTCAACGAACATTCATAAACCTCATAGCAAACTTACGTGGTTGGAACTATAGTTAATTCTTTTTTTTTTTTTTTTTATCTAAACATTCTTAAATCAAGATAAATTTGTTTTAAGCATAAATTCACTATATATATATATATGTATGTGTATATATTACTATGTACCATGTAATGGTAGTTAAAAATAACCAGCTTAAACCTTTTAGTGGAAATGCTACACTTTTTTAATGCTACACTACTTGTATTATTTTCAGTGCAAGGTGCCAGTAAACCCTACAGCTTTCAAACTAAAAAGCACTCATATTGTGCAAGCGGTGGCTTGGATCGGGGTTATGAGCACTAAACACTGTCTGCACTGTTGTGTAACAATCTGAATCCCAAACTGAACCTGGTGTTCCCGGATGGGGTTGCAGGGATGTTCGTCCAAACAAATAAGGCCCATGTTGTGCCTGTCTTTTCTAGGCCTTTATTATCACAGAGCCGTTTTCATATTGTCTTTAGACCTCAAATCATCTTTTATAAAACACAGAGGACTGGAAAGCGCCAACATTGTATTTAGCGCCTGTTTGGCGAGGAGGGGTTTCTCTGGTTTTGCCAGGTTTAATCTGTGAGAGGCGGGAGGTAATGGTGACTCACAGCTCGAACACACTTAAGGAGAATGAGTCTTCTGTATGCAGAGATCCGAACTCGGATGCTCTCTATATCTTTATCTTTCTCTCTCTGTTATTTCTGGAGCATCGGTCTGTTTATGTGAGAAACAGTAAACACATTAATCTTGCTTTTTCTTTTGCTCTGTCCTGAGTATGTGAGAGTGATTTAGTGTTATTTGCAGGACTAGGGTTCAGTGCATAGAGTCAGAACATGACCTGTGATGCCAGAGGGCCGGATATTCATTAATGTGTGTTAGCAATGACCGTAAAGGCTCTTTGTGATGTTTACAAGCATGCTGTGTGGGATTAAAACGGTCTTGGAATATTTTTACTGTGCCATTATTATTATTCATTTATATTTGCTTTTCAAATGCCTCTCACCTTCTGCTGAACAGGTTTTATTTTATTTTATTTTATTTTATTTTATTTTATTTTATTTTATTTTATTTTATTTTATTTTATTTTATTTT